TTTGGTGCTGGAGGAAGGGAGATCGTATTTGCCTCTGTGAAAAATTTTTCCGAAGCCGCAGGAAAATTTTTTCCGATAGTTGATCTTTCTATTCTTTCCGATTCATATTGCCATTTTCTCCCCTACATCGCTTGAAATTTCTATTGAGATTTATTTACTCATTTGTTTATTATATGCACTCCTAGGTGCGCTATATTCCTTGATACCATAATCAGGTCGGAACTAAAAATGCAGAAATATGAAAAGAAAAGAAAAAAATGGGAAAAATTCGATCGGGGAAGTTGCACGAAATCGGGGAGAATTTGGAAGATGGTAGGTAGAGTGACAAGACAGTTCGTACCAGAGAAAGAAATGTGGGTGAGGATGGTCGCGCTCTTACAAATTTCTTCCCCAACAGCAAAATCTGTGCCCTGCTTTCAAATCTTTTAGGTCACGCACTTACCCGAACATCGCTATCCGCATTGCAGGATACCAGTATGTCACCTCTCAGCTGCATTCCTGACGTTAGCGAATGGTGACCAGAAAGGACACTTATACATACACCTTTTGAAATATCCCACACTCGTATGGTAGTATCCAAGCTTCCACTGACCACAATATTGCGCTGCGCATCAAGCTGAAGGATTTCTTGTATATATTATCCACAATCGATAAAAAAGCCAGAGATGAAAAAAAAACAATCGATCTGCTTCAAGACTCCTTGACCTTTATTTTATGCCCCTAAGCCTCGGCGTAGTTCGGATTTTGAGAGAAAGAGAACATTTTGCACATCCGCTGCTTGTCATTGGTAAATCGAGCCATCAAGTAGAGATTTGTGTAATTTTGCGAAACAATGAAGTGATACCAGTCAAGGTTGTTAGAAACCACTCGTCAACTCTTGTAAAGCAATGAATACGTCGACGGGAAGCTGCGGAAGTGCAAAATGCCCCCCCCCTAGCCAAACTTTGCCGAAGTCTCTAGTTCAAGAGTTGGACACTAATAAAACTGAGGTGGACGAGATTTCAAAAACCTACCAACAGGGAATACACACGATTCGTATGCCCGGTTAGCGTATACAAACAGCAACCAGTCTCGAAATCCCAGACCTGTAATTATTATCGTTAGCAAAAAAAAAATGATTGTGAATTTT